CTTCCGTACATAAATTTAGCATCTGAGGTAGCTATTTTATTTTACAAAAGGTAGAAATAAATATAATAGAGCTTTATTTTTTCAATTGCAATTAACTCCCGATAACGATTTACGAAAATATGAACTAATTATGATTTGCGATTTTTTTTTTGGAGGGTGTTTGGGGGTCATGCAACTACCTTATTTTACAAAAGGTAGAAATAAATAGACTAGGAAACGTAGAATAAATAGAATAGAGCTTTATTTTTTTCAATTGAAATGAACTCCTGATAACGATTTGCAAAAACATGAACTAATTAATTAGGATTTGCGATTTTCCAACTTTCATTTTGTCTTACTGTTACCGTTCCGTAAACAGAATAGAGCTTTATTTTTAGCATTATCGGGAATAGAGCATTATCAGGTGTTAATAATGATTTGCGAAAATATGAACTAATTATGATTTACGATTTTCCAACTTCTATTTTGTCTTGCCGTAACGTTTCCTAAATCTATGTAAACAAAAAAAATCCCTTTTCGTCCTTCAGGAAAATTCCCTGAGTGGGTTATAGGTTTGTAACGCTTGTCAGGGTTACCATAATCTGGCACACACGCACTTCCGAGATGTCAACAAATCGCCAAGGGCCGGTTATCTGAAAACTGCCGGGTTGCTACATTCAGATCTTAATCAGACCATTATTCATGAAAACAATAAAATCAGATTGTTATTGTATCTTTATTTGTAAGGGAGCTGTTTTGTGTTTTTGAAAAGGGCATATCATAAACATACACATGAACAGCTTGTAAGAGTCTTTAAAAATGAGAAATATGTGGAGGTGTGTCTAGCTGTTTATAGGATCATTTTTGACTACTACTGTACAAGCAAGTTGATGTCTCAGACTGTGGTACAATGCATGAAAATGGTATAATTAATCTCCAAACGCATTGTATAATGTACATCTGAAAAGAATGTCAAGTTTATGAAAATGAACATATTATTTACGAGTGTGGTTTTTAAATTTGTTAGTTGCCTTAAAGCTATAAAAGATAATTTTTTAGAACTGTAAATTGTGTGGTTGTGTAAGCCCATAAATACTAAGTAATTTATTCAGAACAATGTGAATGCAATGTTTAATTTTCCAGTTTAGGTAGTTCAGTTTGCTTCTTTATAAGCTTTTATTGGATATAAATGTATTGCTGTGTAAATTTTGCTTATAAAATTTAAGTGAACATCATTTTGTATAGTATTTGAAGAAAATTGACATTTTGAAAACTGCAAATTTAATGAATTAGTATTTTCAGTTAAAAAAAGCTAGCCTTCAAACAAAGCCATGATTTAACTTTGTAGTAGATCATGTTTGAATTGGAGGAATAAAAAATCTATTAATTCAATTCAAAATATTCCTAAAATGGTATATTTCCTGAGATTTAATTAAACAATTATAATAGTGAAGTGAACATCATTTTGTATAGTATTTGAAGAAAATTGACATTTTGAAAACTGCAAATTTAATGAATTAGTATTTTCAGTTAAAAAAAGCTAGCCTTCAAACAAAGCCATGATTTAACTTTGTAGTAGATCATGTTTGAATTGGAGGAATAAAAAATCTATTAATTCTTCAATTCAAAATATTCCTAAAATGGTATATTTCCTGAGATTTAATTAAACAATTATAATAGAATTTTATCTCGCCTAAATATTAAAATAATTTAGTCCTTTAAAGTTTTATTTGCACATCAATATAATAACTTTCATTCCACTTTTATCCAGAAAATTAATGTAATTTATATTATTAGGGGATAATCATACAAAAACATGACTAAACTTTTGAGTAGTCCATGTCAGAATTAGAGAAATACAAACCTGTTGATTGTCTAATATAGAAAATTCCATGAATTTTTTTTAATATGGATTGAAGGCCTTTAAGAAATGGGTATAGTTATTATGTTATTTTTCAAGCTTTAAGAGTTTAACCTTCAAACAAAGGCATGATTTAACGTCATAGTATTTCATGTAAGAATTGGAGGAATAAAAAATCTGTTAATTCTTCAGTTCAGAATATTCCTAAAATGGTATATTTTCTGTGAATTAATTAAACAATTATAATATAAAATTGAATTTTATCTTGCCTAAATATTAAACTAATTTAGTCTTTTAAAATTTTATTTGCACAATATACCTTTTTTTTTTATCCAGAAAATTAATGTATTTTTAATATACTGGTATTTTTTTATTAGGTGATTATCATAGAAAAATATGACTAAACTTTTGAGTAGTCCATGTCAGAATTAGAGAAGTACAAACCTATTGATTGCTTAATATAGAAAATTCCATGAATGGTTTATTTTTAAATAAGGATTGAAGGCCTTTAAGAAATGGGTATAGTTATTATGTTATTTTTCAAGCTTTAAGAGTTTAACCTCCAAACAAAGGCATGATTTAACTTTATAGTACTTCATGTAAGAATTGGAGGAATAAAAAATCAATTCTTCAATTCAGAATATTCCTAATATGGCATATTTTCTGAGAATAAATTAAACAATTATAATATAAAATTGAATTTTATCTTGCCTAAACATTAAACTAATTTAGTCTTAAAATTTTATTTGCACAATATAACTTTTTTTTATCCAGAAAATTAATGTATTTTTTTTAATATACTGGTACTTTATTATTAGGTGATTATCATACAAAAACATGACTAAACTTTTGAGAAGTCCATGTCAGAATTAGGGAAATACGAACCTGTTTTCGAATATAGAAAATTCCACAAATGGTTTATTTTTTAAATATGGATTGAAGGCCTTTAAGAAATGGGTATAGTTATTATGTTTTTTTTTTCAAGCTTTAAGAGTTTAACCTCCAAACAAAGGCATGATTTAACTTCATAGTATTTCATGTAAGAATTGGAGGAATAAAAAATCTGTTAATTCTTCAATTCAGAATATTCCTAAAATGGTATATTTTCTGAGAATTAATTAAACAATTATAATATAAAATTGAATTTTATTTTGCCTAAATATTAAACTAATTTAGTCTTTTAAAATTTTATTTGCACAATATAATAACTTATCCAGAAAATTAATGTATTTTTAATATACTAGTATTTTATTATTAGGTGATTATCATACAAAAACTTGACTAAACTTTTGAGTAGTCCATGTCAGAATTAGAGAAATACAAACCTGTTGATTGTCTAATGTAGAGTATTCCATGAATGCTTTATTTTTGAAAATTTAACATTTGTATGAGAAAATTCATCTTTATTCTAAAGAATACTGTTTAGTTTATCTTAGCAAAATGCAGTAATTTTTCAGTCCTTTTTAAATCTGGATTGAAGGCATTTAAGAAAGGGTTATAGTTATTATGTTATTTTTCAAGCTTTAAGAGTTTAACCTCCAAACAAAGGCATGGTTTAACTTCATAGTATTTCATGTAAGAATTGGAGGAATAAAAATCTATTAGTTTTCTAACTGTAGAATATTCCTAGAATGGTATACTTTATGAGAATTAACTGAACAGTTAAACTGAATTTCTTCCTTGGCCTAAATATTGAGTAATTCCACCTATAAATTGCCAAAGAAAAAAAGTGCTGTTTCACCAAGACTTACCTTCTGTTACAAGTTGATAAAAATGACGGTTAAATTTCCTGAAGTATCAGGAGTGATACTGTGGCAAGATATTCACTTAAATTGTGATAATAAAATTAAATAACAAGTCAGATTTTAGTTTGAAAAATCATCATTAGAGCTTTGATAATTTTTATGTGTAGAACTCATCTGTATGTATATCACAGCTGCCGACTCTTGGTTTCTTGACATCTCGTAGATAGCCAAATCTTTAGGTTTTAGCTGTATGAAGAAAATGTTTTTCAGCAATAAAATTAAAATTCGAACAGTTTGTTTCATTATTGAATTAATAAAGCTTAAATTGTGCAAATTTCATTCTGGCATTCCTAGTGATCTTCAGCATTTACTTTTAGTTGATCTGAAATGTTGTAATCTACTGTAGACATTTATGGAATTTTATATGAAGATTTAACCAAATGTTTAATCAATAATGATTTGTTTTTAAGGAGGGAGAATATATCTTAAAAATACAGAGGATGTTTACACATTTCTAAAACAATCAAAAAAATGGATAAAGGCATAATCCTTTAATTATTTAACCATTCCGAAATCTGTTTATCAATTTCCCGCTGCTCTGTGGCGGGAGGGGGGGGACACGGAAACGCGGCGGTGCGCAATGAATTGGAAGTTAATCTGTCAGCACTATCCTTATCTTCAGGGCAGATGTTTTTATTTTATTTGGCTTATAATTCCTTACTAAATGTAGTATTTCATCTCGATGTACTCCATCTTTGATATGATTTAAATCAAATTGCTCGTCATCATAATTCGCTTCCGATAGTGAAGAAAGTGACACAGAGGTTATTGAAAACGAAAAAATTTCGATTGACAAATTAGTCGGTATTCTCGAAAGAAAAAGGAACTTTTTTGTGGAAACATCTTAAACAACTTACATTGAAAAAAATGTTTAATAAAGTAAACAAATAAATATTAAGCTTTTTTTTGTAAATTTTGATACCCTTTAGATCATAATTGTTCATCTTGATAAAAGATATAAAAAAAAGGTGTTTTGGAATAAAAATTTCAGGTAAAAGCTTATTATATGAAATGAGAAATATCATTTGCTATTTTTTTATTATTCTTTCAAAATTCCAGATTTAAACAAGCTGTGGATTTGAAGGATATGTTTTCTCAAAGAGAAATATTCCTATTCCGTAATTCAAAAACATCGTAAAATGTATGATATTAAAATTTTTTAAAGAAAAATTAAGCTTTTGCCAATGCTTGCACTTCATGCAGAATAATAATTAAGGAGTTATCACATCTAGCGATGGTCTCCACTCGACAGGACTTTTCTGAGAAATGAGATTCTGGCAGCATTGGTTTAAACGGGAGGATTCCTTGAGAAAACAGCTCCGCTGGAAGTGTAGTTGTGCCTAGCTATGGAAGCGATGTCCCAGCTGCGCAAGGTATTTTGAAACTTTGCCAGAAATGTTCTGTCTGCAGCTCTGCCCCTGGTAGAGATCAGCCAATCAGATGATAGTTCTGTCGTTGTCCAATCTTTTAATTGTTAAGAAAATTCTTCTGATTTGTTTAAAAAAAAATGATTTTTTTAGTGTTGTAAGTTGGCAAGTATGCTATTAGAATACAGTCAAAAGTCGTTAATCCGGACTCGTCGGGACTTCGGCGATTCCGGATTATAGATCATCAGTTTAAATCTGGTAAAATGGCATGCAGAAACTATAAAATTAAAAATATGAAACCGTAATTTATGAAATAAAGAACAATTATGATCTAAAGAGTATCAAAATTTACAAAAAAAAACTTAATATTTACTTGTTTACTTTATTAAACACTTTCAATGTAAGTTGTTTAAGTTGCTTCATTTTATGTGATAATACTTTCTCTTTAATTCTATAAACAGACATAATTTCCTGTTCAATTACAAAGTTCCGCTCTTCAAGTCCTATAATTGCTGTGTCGAGAATACCGACTAATTTGTCAATCGAAATTTTTTCGTTTTCAATAACCTCTGTGTCACTTTCTTCACTATCGGAAGCGAATTATGATGACGAGGAATTTGATTTAAATCATATCAAAGATGGAGTACATCGAGATGAAATACTACATTTAGTAAGGAATTATAAGCCAAATAAAATAAAAACATCTGCCCTGAAGATAAGGATAGTGCTGACAGATTAACTTCCAATTCATTGCGCACCGCCGCGTTTCCGTGTCCCCCCCCCCTCCCGCCACAGAGCAGCGGGAAATCGATAAACAGATTTCGGAATGGTTAGATAATTAAAGGATTATGCCTTTATCCATTTTTTGAAGCAATTCTACTTTTTGTTTAATGGACTTCGAAACATACTTTCGCTTTGTAGATCCGTTACATATTAGTAAATATATATCGGAAATTTTATTTGACATAATTGAAAGTTCAAGCTTACTTTTATAAAATTGCTCTAACAGTCTGCAAAAAATAATAAGCTGGATCCAATTCGAAGATTAAGGAACAACACAATGTGCAACATTAAGTAAAATAGATAATTAGATAATTTTAGCTTAGCTTATACCGTCTGTTATACATTAAATGCATGTGTGTAAATGCATATGTGCATAGTATATACGCATGCGCAGAAAGTTTGTAGCTTTGATGTCCGGATTATAATCATTCCGGATTATGAACGTCCGGGTTAAAGACTTTTGACTGTATTAATGAAAAAATATATTTGTAATAAATATATCATTGAAATTACTTTTTAAGAATACAGAGGGTGTTTACATATTTTTGTAACGATTTTGGTCTTCTCCATGAATTTAAATATTAATTTTAAAATAAAAATGTGACTGGCATCAAAACTTGTAGCTTTGAGGTCCGGATTATAGATCATTCCGGATTATGGGTGTATGAATTAACGACTTTTGACTGTATGAGGAAAACTATTTACTGGGAGGTAAATGGAAATACATTGTACCCTTGATAAAACATGGATTTACCTAAATGATTGCAACAACAAAAAGCTTATTATAGAAAACAGATAGAAAAATTGTACAAACCGGATTCCGTCAATGCAAGGAAAGTTTCAGTAAGGGTTTTGTGATTGTTGCAGGATTCTCTTACAGTGGGAAATAAAAAGAGTGGAAAAAATTGTTAAAATGAACTCACCGTGCTGTCAGGAGAAAGTTTTGCGTTAAAAATTTACAGAAGAAATTCTGTTATATCATCCCAGTGGTTTTCGGAGAATGAAACTTCATCAAGACAAGACAAAGCAATAAGTAATACTTTGAAAAGTATCATTGCATTCCTTGGGGGGGGGGAAAGAAAAGACCGATACGGGTATTGCATATAATATAATTTTTCAACGTATTCTTGCGAAGTCTCCTGATATCTCATCTGTGAACTGTTGTACCTTTAGCTTTTTGAAAAGAGCTGTTTCTAAGTGCACAATGATTGACGAATACTGGAAATCAGTACTCTTGGAAATTTTATGAAGACTTTCCATCATGTAAATTGATGTAGACTTCAGTTCAGGAAAAAGGTACCAGATCAAACATTTAAAAAAGTATTTTTTAAACATTAACTTAACAAACTTGAAATCATTCTAAAAATGTAAACATCTGATGTATATCATACATAAATAACTAAGTTTATCCACACAACAGTATGTACATTAATTATTATTTTTTACCTTGTTTAAAAGTACTTGATGAATTGAAGCTTTCCTTCCCTCTTCAGAATTTGATCAGTATAAAAAGTGTTAAAATTGCTAAATAAAATTAGCCAAAGAACATACAAATTAGAATATATAATTAAATCATAGTATAAATAGTTGATGAACTAACTAATGAATTTAAATCAGTTGAGTTCTTTTTAAAATGGCACCGCTATGCAGTGTGGGAAAACTTTCCTGGAATTCTTTTTTTGACAGGTGAACCTCCTGGTTTTTCACTTATTGTGGTTGGCAGCTACGGTATATTTATTGTAAAAATGTGCATTTACTGTCATTTATTTTTATCAGAATTTTTTTGGCAATTATTTAGCAAGATTAATTGGGTACTTTCTCTTGTGCTAAATATTTTGTCGTACTTTGATGACTATCATTGAAAATCTTTAGAATTGTATTTAGTGATTTCTATAATTGATGACTTCTTTTGATGATGTTTAACCATCTTTGAGGTAATGTTGCTAAATGGGAATATGTCCATGATTTTTCTTTTTAAATTATGAGTTTCTTTACTAGGAGAATCCCAATATAACGAATATTGTTTTTTCTTTTCAAATAGGTACCTGCTTTAGAAACTGCAGATGGGAAGTGTATTTCAGAAAGTAATGCTATAGCTTATTATGGTAAGTTTTAAAATTTTTAAATAAGTTTTAACATTATGTCCGATTTATGAATGATTTATTTCTGATGATTGAGGGAATTTTAAAAATAAACATTGAAATATTTAAATTGTTTGGCTAATTAAATGTATATTTTATTGGGTTAAAAGCAAAAGCTTGTCTTGTTTTTGGAGATTTAGATTATGAGTGGATTAACATCATGCATACCACAGTGAAGAGTAGAATTTTCATGCAAAAAAAATGTATAGTCATGTAGCATGTAAAAGCAACATGCTTGTAAGAAATTATTTGTAAAAAAATTCAAAATTTTATAATGGCGAAGGAAAAGATTGTACTAAAGGATTTGTATTCATGAGTGATGAATCTCCTGCAAAGCATATAGCAAGAGGTTGCATTAAATGATGGCAGTTATGCTATTCCTTGGGTAGAGTTTTTACAGATGAAGAAAAATGATAAAAAATTCAGGGAGAGGAGGGGAATAATCTAATTCATGATAAACATTACAAAATTCCTTATAAGCAGGGATTAATTACTAAGTATTAAGCACAGCAGCATGAACAAGGCTTACCAGATTGAAGCTGCTGATAGTTTCCTATTTATATTGTTCTTCATGATTGGCACAGTTAAAAAAAATCTAGAAGAATCATGATAGGATCTTAACTGGAAACTACCAAAATGCTGCCAGGTTTATATAAAAAACTGGCAGGTGGGAAGGGGAAAAAACAGATTGTCCCTCTTATGTTGCCAGCTCTCCTTAGGCTGTTTTCACTATTCTGATGTACAGAATACTCAGTAGTTAAGCATAAAGTAATAAAAAATGTTAAATAAACAAAAAAAAAAATATAAAGTACAGTCAAAAGTCGATAATCCGAACCTCGAAGCTACAAACTTTCTGCGCATGCGTGAATGCATTTTGCATCAACGCATAATGCAGTGACGCCTGCACTAATGCGTGCGCGTAATACCTTTATGCATGCGCATAATACGTATAACGGACGGTATAAGCTAATCTAAAATTATCTAATTATCTATTTCAGTTAATGTTGCAGATTGTGTTGTTCCTTAATCTTCGAATTGGATGCGGCTTATTATTTTTTGCAGACTGTTAGAGCAATTTTATAAAAGTAAGCTTGAACTTTTGATTATGTCAAATAGAATTTCCGATGCTGGAGCTGGCAAAGGATCTACGAAGCGAAAGCATGTTTAGATGTCCATCAAACAAAATATGGAATTCCTGCAAAAAATGGATAAAGGCATATCCTTTGTTTCTCTAACCATTCTGAAATCTGTTTATCAATTTCATGCTGCTCTGTGGGGAAGGGGAATGTCGCGACGCGCAGTGAACTGGAAGTTGATCTGCCAGCACTATCCTTATCTTCAGGGCAGACGTTTTCGTTTTATTCGGCTTATAATTCATTACTAAATGTGGTATTTCATCTCGATGTACCCTGTCTTTGATATGATTTAAATCAAATTCATTATAAATATCGCAAATACACATCAAATAGTTTTCTGGTTGCAATTTTCTAATTTTGACTATGTGTAATGTATGCTTTACGCATGCACACATTGAAAGAAATGTTTAATAAAGTAAACAAATAAATATTAAGCTGCTTTTTTTTTTGGTAAATTTTGATATCCTTTAGATCATAATTGTTCTTTATTTCAAAAATTACAGTTTCATATTTTTTAATTTTATAATTTCTGCATGCCATCTTACCATATTTAAATCCGGAAAAATCGATAATCCGGAACCGCCGAAGTCCCGACGAGTCCGGATTAAAGACTTTTGTCTGTACTTGCATATCTTGCTGTTGACCATGAAAGTTGTCACCGATAATGCTAAACTTGCAGTCATTCTGGCAAAATTTAGAAGGAAAATGGCTCGTTGTTTAGTTGTATAATTGGCAGATAATAGTTTTTGGTATAGCATGTAAGAAATTTAAATTGAGTTCAAACTTTCAACAGCTTTTTAGCTAAAGTCAAAAAAGAACCAAGTGTTCTTTATTTAGTTAGACAATGAACAGAGTCAGATGTTAGATATGGTATATACAATAAACTGTTGGGATTACTATAATAATATGTTGGGATTACTATAAAAATGGATAAAGGCATATCCTTTGTTTCTCTAACCATTCTGAAATCTGTTTATCAATTTCATGCTGCTCTGTGGGGAAGGGGAATGTCGCGACGCGCAGTGAACTGGAAGTTGATCTGCCAGCACTATCCTTATCTTCAGGGCAGACGTTTTCGTTTTATTCGGCTTATAATTCATTACTAAATGTGGTATTTCATCTCGATGTACCCTGTCTTTGATATGACTTAAATCAAATTCATTATAAATATCGCAAATACACATCAAATAGTTTTTCTGGTTGCAATTTTCTAATTTTGACTATGTGTAATGTATGCTTTACGCATGCACACATTGAAAGAAATGTTTAATAAAGTAAACAAATAAATATTAAGCTGCTTTTTTTTTTTGGTAAATTTTGATATCCTTTAGATCATTTCTGTTGACCATATCTTGCATGTTGACCAAGTTAAGCAAAGACTATGAGAATCTTGTCATGTCACATTTATGTATTATCGATGCTAAATCATACTGTTTTGGAACAGTTGTTAGTTTCCTCAAAATAACCCCCCCCCAAAAAAAAACACAAAAAAAATATCCAGAATAATAAAAAATACATAAAAATTAATATTTAACAAATTGAGAGAAATGTAATGCAAATTGCAACATTGATTTTGATAACTGAATAGAAAGTTAAAAATATCTACATAAACAATTTGTATTATTTAATGTATTTAAGAAAATGATTTTTTATGTGTAAAATTTTAACAAGTGAAATTTTAAAGTTTTATATTTTTTGCCTTTATTTCTTTTTCATTTTTAGTCCAAATGAGCAATTTGTTCAGGATTATTGATTTCATTTCGGCATTTTGCATTGAAATGTTAGTTCACTTTTCAAATTGTAGCCGCCAAATATTAGTCTTCTATTATATTTAAAGAAATTAAATTATGAAAAATCTGCATTAAATGTATGTTTCTCGCATTGTGATAAAACAACAGTACCTAGAGCCATCAAATTTTGAATAATTTGTTTGGAATTTGTTTTATTATCGATTTCATATTTTGTACAACTTTAACAAATTTTTATAAACAAACTCAACGATTTCAAAGCTAACAATGACAACATCGTAAGCAGAAAAAAACTTTTTTATCTCCAAAGCTGTATCCGAAATTCTAAAGATTCTATTTTAAAATTATTTTGCGATATTCCTGTTGAACTGAATTTTATGGTTTAACCTTTTCCCGGGGGCTGGGACATATATGTCCCGCACTTTCACTACTTTAAATGTGTCTCAAGAAATTTCAGTAAATTATGGAGATTTAAAATTTACTCCTTAATATGGATTAGGAAGAGCAAGATCCTGTCGATTTGTTTTTCTGTTCCTTTCATTTAAAATAAGTGACTAAATGGCCATAATACGTTCAAAATTGGCCTCTATAGCCCACGGGAAAAGGTTAAGTGCGAAGAACATGATATTTAATGAATAAAGGTAGCACACAAAATGTTAAAAAAATGCCCGTTTGGGCATATATAAAATCTAAAAGCTTTCCTTTTTTTATATTTATAATTTTTCTTTTTGTTTGTTTCTGTATTTTTTGTTTAGTAACTATTTTTGAAAAAATATTCTCTTGTTACGGCTTACTTATCATTAATTGGTCTGTAAGCAACCACCAAGAGATAAATAAATGGAGAAAAGCTTTAAGAGATTCTTGAATTACATTTCAAATATTTCTTGTGCTTTTTTTCCTATAATTGAATTTAAGTTGTAGCTATTTTAAATTATTCTTGGGAAGTGAAAGCTCTGCTAATTTGTCCATCAGTAATATTTTTAAAACTATTAGAACTGTCATTGCATACGTCTTGATTTCATGAAAATAAAGTTACCGTAATTTCCGGAAGAAACGCCGCGTCGTTTACGTGTGTAAAACTTAAATTTTCAGCGGGTGTGGCGTTTCTACCCATGCGGCGTTTAGGTGCACTAAAAATAAAATATTTCCTATGATGGTCATTGTACATAGTTTGGATGGCCGTGTCATTGTGCACAGACTGGTGCTGTTCCCACACAAAAGACCACTCAGTTGCTTTTTGCGAAGGTTATTTTGTTTACATTCTTTCCCTTGAACGGACCTACATGCCTTATTCACCCTAAACGAGATCTCAGAACAATAACATTCTTCCCCCTTTCAAATCAACATTCTCATCAGTTTGAATAGTCTCTCTCCTCTGCCATTCGATGAATCTTCCAGGACCCATCCTACCCCTGCCTTTCTGCCTCGCAATAAGGAACTCTGACGTATTTCCCCTTCAGCATGAATAGATTTTTCTTGGCATTCTGCCAGATACATATCCCATCAGTTTGGGTACAAGTACTTGTTGGATAGATTTTAAGTAAGAAGGAAGCGGAAATTTTTTAAAAATGTCCCTAAACGGCACAAAAGCTATACTGCTAGTTTTAAGCTTAATGTAATTTCATGTGCTAAACAAATTGGAAATCGAGCAGCAGCTCAAGAGTTTGAAGTGGACAACAGATGTATTCGACATTGGAGAACTGAAAAAGAACTTCTTAAAAATATGCCACAATAGAAATGAGCCAAAAGAAGTGGGTAAGGTGTCCAAATCTAGAGAACGACCTTGCAAACTGGATAAAGGAGCAACGAGGAAAGGGAATGGCAATTTCGACTGTAAAAATTCACTTACAAGCAAAATTTATAGCAAAACGAATGAACATAAATGATTTTCAAATGAGGACCTTGCTGGTATAGCAGATTTATGAAAAGAAAAAATATTTCTATGCGTACTAGAACAACAGTCGGGCAACAATTACCACTGGACTGGCAGGATAAAAAGTAATCTTTTCTAAAATATGTGACAGCTATTATTGACAAAAAAAATTATTCGGTCACAGATAATAAATAAGGATGAAACGCC